CGCAGGGCGGAGGCTCCTGATTGCGAGTCTTGCAATGAACAATAGCCTGTTCAACACATAATGCTTGAATGCTGAGCGTATGCCTCTGCACGATGTAAATATTTTCTCAGATATGTCACGAGCATACACCGTTACACCGTACATTCCTACTCGCTGACGAGCCAATTATCCCGCATAGCTGTACTTTTAACTGTTGAAGAGACACTGGTCTTTTTATACCGATTATGATTTTACATTTCAACTTTATGTCCGTTACTTATTTACAAATCATGCACGTAGTTTTAATCAATCGAAAGCTACTAGAGCACTTGCCTCTATGAAACCTTCTCTGTAATAGTCTGCCTCTGGCGCTTCGTGGCCTCAGATGCTTTTGCGCCATAAAACCTCAACCAATCCATCGCCTGTTTTTATGAGTGCGAGCCGTTTCGCGTTCATGCACCAAGATACTTAGCCAACGAGTGTGCAGCAAACATGGAGAATAGAAGGGTAGGAGAGGGCATGACGTCGGCCGCGTAGCCTCCGCAAGCCATGCTCCCTTGACGCCTCGCTTCTTTCTCATTTTCCTCCTTACTCTCCTCACTTACCATGCCAACGTGACCATATCACGTGACCATAGCTAGCCTTCGTCTTACTATAGGCTACTAGAATACACCGCAGTCTAGCCTTTGATCTGAGATCTGATAAAACCTACCGGACGGAGCGCGCTCAAGCCTGCAAGGAGTCCTTCTACAATCAACCATGCATCTCTCACGTGACATGTCACGCGCACCAATCGCCAGAGAGATCTGCGGTCACGCTGGGCACAAAATCGCTTAAACTTTTTATGACTAGGCTTCACCAATATTGCAACGTGCCCCCTCCTAGTACTTCTAACCTCCTTGGCAGCAAACAACTATCGCAAATACAAGCCTTCGAAAATGCTGTGCGGGTGCTGCCTTTCGTAGCGTGACTGGCGTAAGCCTATAGCGTTCCACGTCAACTATCTTGCTTTATCCGGCTTGATTGGTTTGTTTGAGCGGTTTGATGCCGAAGAAATGTGTCGATTCCCATGAAAGTGGCCCCACTACTATGAGAATCGTAAAAATGTCGTGATTCCGACCATGGTTTTAGTGCTGAGAGGTAACCTAGAAAGGTCAAAATTTGCGAGTCATTTGGCTTGAAGAAATCAGGTGTTCGATTCTCATGAAGTTCGCACTGGTATGTTTTCGTTATTTTGGTTCGAAAGGCCCTTAGCTCTCAAGCTTTAGCAGTACACCTGGCTTGCTAAAGCGAATATTTTAGGTCACGTCTTAATTTTTCGTCGTGATCCTCACTCACCTTGCTCGCGGACACTATGCAAGGAAACAACAAGAACAAAGAAAGTAAAAGAACTATAGTTATTTTGTTGATTTCTTTTTAAGCTCTTTCAGTCGTTTTTTACCGCACATGAAAAGACACTGACAGACGTACGCTTGTGTTAAACCGGGGGCTGGGGCATGATGGAACTCTAATACGCCGCTTCATTGTCGCGTCTTGCAATCATCGCAGGCAGATTTAGACGGGGGCGGAAGAGCAGACACAAGCGACCGCGGACGCAGACACGTGGCTTTCATGGCCGCCTCAAACGTGCGTTCTATTGGCGGCGGTATAGTGGTAGAGTTTTCTTCTAATAGGAGGCGACGCCGTACGCTGCCGCGTATCTGCCCGCACGACCAGCAGACGGTGCCGGACAGCATACTAGACGCAACCGGACGTCGGGACAGAAATACATTAGGCTTGCGAATGTGCTCAGCCTGGCAGCCGAGCCAGTAGTAATGGGCGAGACCATAGTTCTGTGGGCGAGGCCTAGAGGGGGTGGTGAACTCCACCCAAATTCTGCCTGGCGTAGCAAATATTTCGCAATTTAATTATTGTGGAGAAAAATTAAGAAACAAATACGTGTCCCATATAGGTCCTTTAAAAATTGTTTGTTTTAATTTGGCGTATCTTTAAGAAACGCGGGGTATGCCGACTTCCGGACGTTCCGGGCGGAATTCGCACGTCGTTCCGCACCAAGACGACAGCCATACAGAGCGGCCCGATTCTGAAGCTGCAGCGTGCGATTTCAAATTAAAGCAGAAAGCAACCTGTCTGAAATTGACTTCAGGTGACGCATTTCTATGCGGAGTGCAAGTTCGTCTGCTTCGTGTACAGGGGTTGCGATGTACCAAGCTAAATAGATTGGAACATTTCTCAGTCAAGTAGGCAAAAACATTGGTCACTTACGGAGTTTTATTTTAATTTTGTTTTTCAAACGTTTGGCACTAAAAAGTGTGCTAATATGACTTTATACATGTATTTATGTACACTGTTCGATACTTTCAGCTGGAGCATAGCACCGGCGCTTTTCTGAAGGAGGGTTTACATGCTCAAGCAACGAGCGCACCTCGAAAATTAGGGAAGCCATCAAGAGCTACAAACTAACACTGGATTAGCGACTATCGGTGCCTGTAGACGATCAAAATAAAGTAGAAGGCAAGTAATTATTTTGATTGGAAACATATAATGTTCGGCTATTTTTTTTTTCTGCCCACGTTTTATAATATTTAAAACATCACACTTGCATTCTCGAAAACTTTGAAAATAAAGGAAAAGAACAAAACGCTACTGGCCGTATAGAAGCGACATGGTATATTACTGAATGTAATAAAAATAAAAAACACAGTTTTTAACCTGCATATTTTTACTGTTGTAAGTGTTCCTTCTCTTACGCTCGTTAAGTTACAAGCGAAGTCATTGTCATATAGGGACACATAAATATCGCACATAATCAATATTAGCCTCATCTGGATGTTGTCTTTCCTTGAAAAAGCCCCAAGTTCTTCTCAACCGTTATTTTTGCTTAAATTCGTCGCTTGTCACACTTGCTCTGGAACATAGGCTTGAGCCTGAAATACTGCGAAGATAAATATCGCTCACTGCTCAGAAAGCAATACTCAAACCAACGTTACTAAACACTCGGTTGGGAAACTCCCATAGAGACAGCTTTGAAAAAGTGGCCCCAATCTGTCTCCGAGCACCCAGCTAATGACGAACACAACGCCACCATTTCTCCCGCAGCGGCCTCTCGAAGAACTGCACCTGACTCCTATTTTGGCTTTAAGAACAGATACAGCGGTAGAGGTTACAGGGGTGCCACCCCCGTCTCCCCGGCGGACGCGCCGCGTTCAACTACCGACGTTAAAATGCACCTAGGTCAGGACGTGCTACCTGAAAGGCCCGCTGAGGCATAGTTGTATGAAAAAAATATTAATTGTTCCGCAAAACCTTGTGAACTAAAGATGATAAAAACATCACGCGCCCATCATTTGGTACTAAAGTCCAATAAATTTCATACAAAAAGAGTCTTTTCCGTTTTTTTACGCAAAAACAGGCTTCCAAAAAGCTCAAGGTGACCACAGTACAGACAAACGATAAAGAGTGGCGCTGTTGTCGCATTTAGCTCGGTCTCGGTGGACGCCAGCGGCCCAGGTTTCGACGGCGAGTTTCCCAACTGAGTGTTTTAGTAACGTTGACTCAAACTAAATAAATTACACTTCTCTATTGTATTAAAGTTACCTATTTGATACGGCCCAAGTAACAAAGTTGCTACCTAAATATTCAGTATTTTTACCTTGGAGGTGTCCCTAAGTTTATTAACATCGTAGAAGAATAAGAAGAGCCCAAAAGTAATTGAAGCTGTGTAAAACTGCAGCCAAAAACGGGAAACTTTCGTTAACAAACTGAGGCTCTGAAGAAGCATCAAACCATGTACATAATAGAATAAAACTGCGCGAAAGTGTACTTATGTACAACGATTACCAACTAGCCCAGCTATCAACCTTATTACATCAAACCATGACTCACGCTCTTGTGTGCTACTAGAGATTTCTTGTACATACGCTGTTTAGTAGTAGATATGGGCTTTTGAACACCGGTTCTCTAACTTTCGCAGTAAAGAACTCAAACTAACTAGGGTAAGCAGAAGAAAAAAACAACACAAGGCAAGGGACAATGAATGCACATATTTCTGCCTATATACTTCCGACCGATTTTGTCACCCTCATTTCATTAAGGATAACTACACATATTTTAGGGTGACTTATTTATGTGGGCCTAATTTTCCGCTGATTTACATGATGTGTTCGAACGGTTTGAATTTGATACTCTTCTGAGGTTTAGCGTAAGATAAATAAGAGGAATAAAGATAGGAAGGGCATCCCAATTTACTGTCTGTGTGTCTTTAAAATCACCATACGCATCGGATATTTTTTTTTTTAAACTGATGGTTAAGGTAAGCGCAGAGGTACAACTTACAAAAAAAAAAAAAAAACATGTGATCAGCGTGATTTTACATCCTCCCCTTTTGGAAAAGTTAACTTTCTACAAGGTCGAGAAACTGACAGAAGCGTTCTGATGAATAAACGGCGCCCTGCATGGCGAAATTAAAAGCACCATTTGTTTTAGCTCACGTTCATTCCATCATCCCTTCAGCTTTGCATTAACGGTTTTAAGTATAAATTTCTTGTCCATGTCGTTAAGTATAACGGTGTTTCTGTCCGAACGGAACGCGAAGCTCAGGTCGAAGAGAAGAGTTTCACTGCCGTAATCAGTTTATGAGCGCACACGGGAGTCTTGCATAGTTGCAATCGTACTTTCCCGGGTTTCTTTGAGGCAACACCACTTACGCCACCCGCCCTCAAGGACGACGCTGGAACCCGTTGGGACTAATGGAGATACAAGGATTGACCGGCCTCCACGTGCCGTTTATGATTACACTCAGCGGACGAACCGGTTACGTCGTCACTTTACTCCGTTCGCCCTTGATGTGACACCGGAGTGGATGCCTGATACTTGCGGCAACAATCAGCAACCAACTTTGAGTCGCGAGAACCCCTTTTCCGGGAGTATGCACCCAAACGGAAAGTACAATCGAGTGGCTCTTGGGAAATACAATTGGCTAAAAATGCGCCTAGTTTCCGCACCGGTATCAGAAGGACGAAGAATACAGCCGCAGCGTACCATTATCGTCGGCTTTTCCGCTCCAAGTTCACATAAAGATCGGTCGTCGCCGACACATACGTTCAGTGTTTCTCGGCACGTTGGTTCTGAGTCCGAATCAAGATGAAGGGACGCGTGCTGGTCTTCGCTGTTGTGGTGTTTCTGGGAGTGTGGGCTTCTGAGGTGGAAGCAGCGTGCCCGAGCAAGGGGGCTCTGCTCGGTCCCTGCTCTCCTCGTAGATGCTCTCCACGTCGGTGCGCCGCTCAGGGACTCGAATGTTGCCCCAATCGATGCGGCGGATCACAGTGCGTTCCAAGTAAGGCAGCAGACCTTTTTTTTTCTACTTCATTATTCTGTTCATTTATTCATTGATTTATTATACTACCGGCTTCGTAAACGAGGTGTTCCCGACAATTATCGCAAACATAAACTACGTATCGCCAAACGCTTAGTCTTCGATTTTCGAGGAGTACGTGAAATTTAATGGACCTTTTCCACATACCGACGGCACCAGGCAGTGGCTGCACGAACTAAAAATCGAGGAAGTGACCTACCTGCGCTACCAATCGATAATGGGAGCTACGCTACCAGTTTCTTCGCTCTCTGAGCAGCGGCGTCTGCCCAACGCGACTTTAAATAGGGGCATACGTGGCGTCCACCCAAACGTCGTGTTTTCCTTTCCGTCGACGTTCTTTTTTTGTGTAACACAATTATATATATGCTGCAGTTGCGTGCTCTACTCGCTGATATAGAGCCTCCTTCCGAATTTCCTCGATTTTTCTTTCCGACTTCCGCCGCTTGGCATCGGGCGCTCGCGCGTGCGCAGAACGCTTCTCGGCAAAGGTACATTTGACCAGGCAAAATGCATAATAAGCATGCAAAAGTATTGCAGTTCCCTACTGCAGGGCTGAATGTCTATGAAATATTTTTCAGACGTAAAATCAATGTCTGGAACCGGCTGGCAGATATTGTGACAAATGCACTTGCCATGGCATCATTTGTAAAAATGATTTAACAACTTTTACAGCGGTGATAACCTATCGCTTTTTTATGAGTTGTTAGCGGTATCCTGGGAGCTATTGCTCTTCTGCTTTGTTCTTCTTGCCTTCCTTTTTGTAATCTCACCCCTGCCTTGGCTACCAACTAGTGGCTAACAGTATTTTTAAACAAAAAAATATAGCACTAGCAGTCCTGGCCAGATGCCAAAGTTTCAGAAAAACCCGTTCTCCATATCCACTTGTCGATCCCCATGCACTCAAGATCAAGAAGTGGGTATGGAGATCAAAAACTCGCCCGTAAAGAGGGTTGCATTCCATCCACCTACATAGGCGAGAGGACTGGTGTCTCTATTGAGTGCATGCTTGCCGTTTCTTTCTGCCCCAGGTGTACTTGGGCCTTCCATCGGCCACAACCCTTCGTCCTGCCCCGTGCTCGAACCACCGAAGGAAGGATGCCAGCCACGCCAAAGCAGCATCTCTTGCGCAAACGTGTTCTGCGTGGGGCAGTGCTGCCACGACCCCTGTGGAAATCCCCGTTGCGTCCCTCATCCCGGCGGAGGAGTCTGAGAATAAACTGCTCGAATACTCATGGACTGTGCGAAATAAACTTCTGATTCGGCTCTTCTACGGCTAGCGCACGCGGGTTGCGAGCAGAATAGCACGCGATGAACGTATACCTTCCACATGGTATTGAGGAACAGATCCAACTGTCACGTCCCAAACGATTAACTTGAGAATTGAGCTCATAGGGACAACAACATAAATGATTGGTTGGTGTTTCTGATTCGGAGATCGGCTGACGTAAACCAATACTGCGTAGACTGCAACTGGGGCTCCCGTCGAGTCAGTGAAACAGTAATTGGATACGAGTATCTGCCGACGATGACGTAGTACTCAATCTGTTTCACGCGCTCTATGGAGAATGGTGGCGTAAGTAATCCGGTCCAGAGCCATTGTGTTGTGTAAACACCGAGCTCTGTAGGAAAACAGGCTGTGCAAAGCGCCCTCTATAGTTAGATTTTCTAGCCAACGGTGCTGCATTGGCTGTGTTTCTTCCGCACTGCTTCGGGCAGTATCTGTATATAGTCACTCAAAGGATAAGAACGACAGGGCGTCCCTTTCGGAAGCCCTCTCTCCAGCACGCGATTGTTGCCTTCCGTCGTACTTTGGCTGCGAGTACACGCTTGAGGCTCACGTGACAACGACTTGTTAATGAACAACCCCTAGGACCTTCTTGTCATTGTAGTCGCGTTATAGTCACTCCCAGAATGAGAACGGCAGGACCTGTCTGTCGAGCGCCCAGCCTCCAGCACGCGCTCTATGCCTTCCGCTGTGCTTTGTCAGCCTGCGCCCGCTTCAGGTGCACGAGACGCCGGAGCGCTGTCGTACGTAGGAAACTCACGCAGGAGGCGGGACAACTGAAGCTGCTTTCTGCCGTTCTCATCTTGTCATTGAATATAATGACTATTCTTTTTTTTTGAGCCGATCAGTTTGGCTTTTTCTAAATTCTAATAGGATACCGCCATCGGGGCACAATTATCTCCAAATTTTAAAGACAGTAATGGTTTTAATGAAAATCTATATGACACCTCGGGCGAACTTGTCGCTTCCATTGCCGTTAGATGGCCAGTTGCATGTTACGCTGTGAGTGTCATATATATTAATCGGTGAAATATCCGTAGAAGTCCTAACATGATTGTTACACCACATCAATATCGGCTCACTAAAGGTCAGACTACAGGGTGTCCCCCCAAAATAATTTACAAAGTCTTTGTCTCTTTAGCGCGAAAATGAATTACGCATCGCCGAACGCTCATTCTCCGCCCAGTTTTAGCGCCAGGGGTCCTAACTAGAGTGACTCCAGCCCTAACCAGATGCCAAAGTTTCACCACTAACCGTCACTGATTTCAAAAGTTGTAAGTAATTTTCTATACAATTCAATGAGAAAGTGGTGGCCGACAGAGCTAATACTTGGAGCTCCATGGCGCCTGTTACCGAAAACGGTCAAAAATATCCCCCATTTTCCCATTGAAACTTTTAGAATATCACGTATACGATTTGAATAACATAGCAGCTACCGTTACATTGGGGCGGACAATGAGCGTCGGGCGATGCGCAGTTTATTTTTGCGAAAGAAATTATTTTGCATTTAAAAGCTCGTTATCATCTTGGTCTCTCAGAGCCGCGGAGACTACATTTTTCCGTCCGATATCGTGATTTTCTTCTGAACGTTCAGCTTTGGAATCTGTAATATTTATCTAATGAAGTCTATCGGGACAGATAATCAGTCGGTCACAAAAACAATTTTACTGCCGAAAGTTTAACTCTATTTTCATTTGATCGGGGGGGGGGGGGGGGGGGAGGGTCAGAAAAAATGGGGTGAAAGGTGTAAGGGCTGGCTCCATTGTTCTCATGGGCAGAGTGCGATTTGCGTTTGAGCATGCAGCCGGCATGTCGTTCGCCGTTTTGAAACCAAAAATATCGCGTTCTTGCGCTTTGCCTTTCGTGTCTATCGTGGTCCCGCACTATAGCACTACAGGCACAGTAATCTCGTGCGAATTTAGCTGAATGTAGCCGACGAGTAGAGTTATTAAAGAAGCTACCTTTCCGAGAAACGACACTCAAGATTTCTAGGTGCTTAAAGACATTGTCGCGTTATCTGCAGCTTTGTTCGAAATCGCAGGGAACGGTTTTGCCTCGTCAAGAATTCTAAAGATAAACTGTGACAAACAGTAACACCCGAGCTTTCTGCTGAAAATGTGTACATAAAGTCAGGTTTACGAAAACAGGGTGCACTCGCAACTAGCCATTTATTGAACACCCATCTCTTATACATTCGTGTAAAATACGTAGTCGCTCCTACATCCGGTGCAGCTTCTTTCGCACAAAAGCGTACTATTTGTCCGATAATGACACAGATGTGTCGCTAATACAATCTGTGTCTTTTTCTTTTATTTTGAAGGCCTCGTGTGGCTGTCTAGATATTCTAACGGGATACCTAGTCAAAATTCTCGTGTCGCCAAATGACGTTGTAAATTGGCAGACCTGCAATGTGTAGCAAGAAGTAATGACGCGGTGTTTCGTGCAGCCACTGCTTGTTAGCGTGCGCGCTCATTAAAACATCTACCCGTCCGGTCGATGTACGACCTTCCGCATGACATCTCCGAACCCGGCTTTTCTTTACGGCTTCTGGAAACAAAGTCTGGCCAATTATTATTACCCAGAGAAGTAACCTACTAATTAAAAATAACAGGTTTTTGAAATCAGCACGAAAGTGTGAACGGGTCTGTGCTGTTTCAGTGGGCTTGGCAAAAAATAAGGTAGAAAGCTCCAAGGCCAGTGTTAAAGATGTCGCATAATCCTGGTCGGGCTCTCACCAAAATTATAGACTCAAAAACTTGCATTAGCTAAGCCTTTTTATTCCTAGATGTCAGACGCGGTGCGCCCAGACGCAAGAACGAATGCAAAACTCAAACCGCAATAACTGTGCTAATAATATGGGGATGTTAAAGAGATGGTGACCGAACATTTCCGTGTCTATAATAAGCGGCGCACTATCTTTCCATGAGTCAGCAGCCGCCGGTGTGCGCGAGCACACGCACCGAAATTGACGTCATCATATCCCCCATTCACGCTTAATGAGCTCGAATGGGGGATATGATGACGTCAATTTCGTTGGGTGTGCTCGCGCACACCAAGGGCTCATGACTCAGGAAAAGATAGTGCGCCGCTTATTATAGACACGGAAATGGCCGGTTCACCATCCCTTTAAAGTCGAGCAGCAATGAGGCACTTTGAGGTTTAAATATAGTCAGTGATTTGAAAATTAAAACGGCGCAAACAACGAGGGACCAAATGAAGAAAGACACAGACAGCGCAGCGTCTGCGCCTCTTTTCACCTGGTTTCTCGTCCTTTGCGCTGCTTTAATTTTCTTTCAAATGTCACACCAACACGCCCAAGCTTCAATTTTAGCATAGTCACCGGCAATTAAAGGAACGCCGGGTGTGGCGTCTTCCATTTAGATTTCTTGCTTGGCGATTGGTTCTTCGGCCATCCTATTGGCTAAGGCTGTAGTCCCATTGGCGGCGGAGCGAGAGTAAGTTTCTCGTTACCCGCCATGCCCTCCATTTTTTAGGCTATCAATGATTATGGCGTGTCAAAGACTAAGCTGGAGAATGAGGCAAGCAGTTCAGTTGTCCAGCTGGCGTGTCTACAAAACTCCTTGGCAAAATAAATGCCGACCAATCGTTTTTTTTTTTTTTCTTTTTTAGCAGGAATATGTTGAAAACAAGACAGTCTGGAGTCAGGGACATAAATCAGCGTTTCCAGCTTGAGCTATACATTTAAGGACGTACCGCCTCGGTTAAAATAACATACGTTTGTCTTATAGACCAGGGATAGAACAAGCTAAAAGATTGAAGATAAAAAGAGAGAAAAAGCAAACCTCTAGTCATTACCCGAATATAGCTCAGCTCCAACCGGTACTTACAGGCCAATCCGAAAATCGCCTAATTTTTTTCGTGTAAAAATTTAATATTAAAAAGGAAATAGTGTCTGCCAATCTCGATGCTTTGAGGTACTATCTTAAGTTGTACATGGTGAGGCCGTAAGAACCAGCGCATTTGGCACGCCTTGCGAAGTTCGAATTCCAAACATGCCACATACCTGAAACTTGGCACGCTTACGTCCTTTCGCAAGGAGGTTAATGTTTATTTGTTTTGTTGTTTAGGATTCAACTCGGAGGCGATGAAATATTAAAAATATTGCAAAAACGACGGCCGTATACTCTTCATGTTCTATACCAGCCTGTTTGTCGTCTGCTCATTGTTTTGCGAGCTCACTCCCAGGTAGCTTGCTGAAAGCAAAACCGCTGAGAACGCCTAGTAGAGGCTGGCGACTAGCTGGATGATAGAGATAAGTAATAACTTTAAGGAAGTATATAAATGATGATTAACTGGGAGCAAGCACGCCAACCAGTGTGCAGACGACGAATATCCGTTAAAGGAAATAAAATTCACGGTGGCCGCTTTTGCATTACTTGCATTATTTCACCACATCTGAGTTGAGCTCTCGAAAACATACACACAAAACTTTCAGCGAAATGACGTATGTTCGCGTGCCCAGTTTCAGTTATGTACGATTAAAATTCAAATTTCGCAAGGCGTGCCAAATGGGCTGGTCCTTACGATCTCGTCCTATATAAAGATAATACCCTCTCATTTGGTTAAAGGCCTCATCCAGATAAGAAAGGGAGGGGGGGGGGGGAGGGAAGGCGGGGAAGGGGGTGCACGACCGAAGCTCAGATTTTATTTTCAGCGGCGGTGAGACACCGCTTATCGCGAGCCTCTCGTCAGCAATGGCTGCATGGTATCGTTCCACACGCGCGCCTTACGCGACAGCGAAAAAACACATCGTCGAGTTGACAGTCCTGGAAAAACAATAACGTAAGTCAAAGTGCCCGGAAGCCGCGCACCTTTTCGCAGACGGCTGACACGTCTCGACCAGAGGTCGTCACGTGACAAAGCGGATGCAGACGACACGAGGCGCAAACAGAGATATACCTCTATATAAGTGTTATTTTGCGGCATGGTCCAGGCAGTCGATTGTCTTACTTTACCGCTGTACCAACATGGAGTTCCGCACGCTTATCCTGGTCGGGTTCCTTGTCCTCGTCGGAGCTGTCTGCAGCGCCCAGGCAGCATGCCCGAGCAACCGCGGTGTGGTCAGCGATTGCGAGTATTCCCCCTGCACGAAGAGCGAATGCGAGGCCAAGAACCTCGAGTGCTGCCCCAAGCCATGTGGGGGAACATGGTGTGTCAAGGGTGAGAAAGATTTGGGATTCATCATTCTAGAAAATGTGTCTTTAAAAAAAATATAAAGTGTTTCTTTTTTCTTTTTTCTTTTTTTTTGGGGGGGGGGGGGGGTATAATAAATTGCGTTTTGCCGAACGCTTAGTCAGAACCCAAGTGCATACCGCCAGCACTCCAGACCAGATGCCATGGTTTCAAAGCTTGCCGTTATGGCAAGCTTTGAAATCAGATCACTGATAACGTTTGAACAAGATAACGGTTAGCTTAAAAACTTTGAATGTGGACCGGACTATTAGCGTTATTTTTGGGAGTAGGCTGAGCGTTCGCCAATGTGTAGTCTACTTTTGCGTAAAAAAAAAAAAGAACGAAAACAAAAAACAGTGTAGTCATTTATTTCGGGGACACGCTGTACACACGCAACCTGTTCTAGAATAGTTGACTGATAGTTGAACTTTCATTGTGCGGATATAACGCTGCTACACTAGACCTATTGCAATATTACTCAAGCGTCAAGGAGAATGCAGGGATTGCTGTTCCACGCGCCGCACGTGCTAGCGTCAGCAGTAGTAACTTTTGTAAAGCAAACACCTAAAACAAATTACATCTTGCACGCGCGTACCTCAACGCTTTATTCTGGTTATTTACTTCGAATCTTTTATACGGGCAAGGCGTGCGCGTGCGGCGCGTGGAACACCAATCCCTGCATTCTCCTTGATGCTTGGGTAATATAGCAATAGGTCTATTTAAACTAATTTACTACCCCCTCTTCACAATTAAGGATCCAACGTAGCCACACACCATTCGTTCTTTTTTTCTGTTTATTTTTTTTTTTACTGATTTGAATAGAGTTTTTTTTTTAAATGTTTTTTATGCACAGTGCGCAAGACTAGTACATACATCCTATGCCCATTGTCGATGACAATATAAAAACAGAATGCTTTCCCTTTCAATGTCATTCCTCCAGCACCGCGTTCGTTGCCTTTTGTTGTAGTTTGGTTGCCCGTGCACGCTCGAAGATCACTAGTCGCCAGAGCAGTAACGAAACTATAGGAAGCTCGCGCTGGGTGAGGGAATATTTAAAGATTACCCCGACATTTTTATCCTACAGTAACTAGGTAAAAACGTGGGAAAGGTTGTAACAATAAGATTCATACTGATAACAATAGTTGCAATTGTACAGTTTCTTTCAATATAAAAGTCCCACTCGGAGTGCGTGGCCGTGAAAACGGCTCGGGAGGGTGCACGGCGCTCGTTTTGAGCAGAGCGGGTAGTGGGCACTTCGATACCACTCTGAGGGGAGTAGAACTCGATAGCGCCAGCAAACTGTATCGGCGCGCACTGAAGAAGCACTTTTCCTTCCCTCGGTGCCTTCATGAATTAACCCAAAACGTGAGCAGCGCTTCCGCTTTGTTGAAGCGATGCTCGGCCACGCGCTTCAAGTGGGCGCTCCACATTGGTGGAGACTAGGTAGTAGGTATCCTTCATGCAGTTCGAAGTACGACACTAAGCATCCGAGCCACAGGAACGGCAGCAACGAAGGTTGACTTAAAACCACCAACAAACACGCGCATGAAAAAAAACACAGTAATCCAACCTGGCCACCAACAAACAAGAAATTTTCTGTGTAGTACGTTAGAGTTTTGTTGCTCGTTCATGTCGTCCACTCCGAAAGATAAGAACTCGATGAATCCAGTGTTCCAAACTTCGAGTTTCTTAAATTTTTTCGTTAAAAAAATTGTTCAAGGAGAAGAACAGCGATACCAAACTTCTTGAACCGATCTTCCCCAAAAAGCAGCAAAAGCAGTCATATAAGAAATACGTTTTTGACATTATTCCCGTCCATAAATCTTAGCAACGTGAACAGCCTCTAACAAGATGAAAGACCACGTTGACAGTGCAGTTTCATGCGGCCATGCAGAAAAAGCTATAAGACGAAGGCCCGCACCATAGCTTCCTATATACTAACAAAGCCTAGCAAACCTCCATGAGAAGCGGCCGCCGAAATAAAAAAGGGGAAGCGGCAGACAACGGATGAGAGGAGAGCCACGTGACTGGCGCCCCGCTGCGCCGAGACGCGGAAACACACTTCTCCCGAGCGAACAAGTGTGCTTCGAGTCCTCGCCGCTGCAAAAGCTGCGAGCTGACGTTCAGGTTCCCCGAGAAATGTCTCTTTGATGCTCTGTGCTATTAGATCCCCGCGTTCCAAATCTGCGAGCGGGCAATCTATGGCTCCGTCGTTGAACTGCCAGTCTTTGTAAGTTAGGAGGAGTCTATGTCTGCACCTTTTCCCCCCAACTTCACCGTTAGTGAGACGCTAGCGCACTGCGACGCCACGAAGGACGCGTCTGCCGACTCACCGCGACTCTCGCCAGGCTACGGCTTGAGAAGGCTACGGCTTGTGGCCTCTTTTCTTCTCGTCCCTTTTCCGAAATACCCCAGTCTCGGGTTAGACAAAACTATGGTTAACTTCCACCAGCTCGCCTGCACCCTTACAATTTTTTCGCTTGAGAAGAGTTTGTTTTGTTTGCCGCTTGGAGGCGAGTCGGAGATTCCCCAACTATGACGTCATGCCTTGTCTTCTGGCTGGCATTGGCTGGATGCACTTTTGCCGGGCCACCATTGCTCGCGGAAATTCACCATTTTTAATTAGTTTGTTAAACGCCTTTTGTATTTTTTTTTTTTGCAAAGTTTGGAAGTGCCAAGTTCTCCAGTATATCATTATCTTCGTTAAAACATTGGAAAAACAGGTGAAGCGCAAACTCCTCCAACGCCCAGCTCTGCAAACGTCTGTTACGGTTCCAGTGAGCCGATCAGCGTGTCCAAGGGTGACGCGGGACTATACTCTATCTCACTAATTGTAGGCGGTGCTGTCGAAGCCACTGCTGGGAGAAAAAGAGGCAATCCGCTTTTGTACAAATTTTGAGCGACGGGTTAATCTTCGATGAAGACATAATGGGACATGTGTGGCACGCCAACTAGGGTACAAAAGAGAAGTGGTGTTCCTCCTTTTCCTTTAACTGCTTGGGTTACGCTCTCACCCTTGTAATCTTGGTAATGGCTGTCAGGTGTCTCGCCTCCGTCACACTGTGTGGCTCGAGGGGCCGTAATTTACGCCTTTTGCAAGTTACGGTTACAAAAAGTATAGAAGCACTCAGGTGATCCTGCGTCGAATAAATGCAACTAATAGCCATCCTAGCCAGGTGTTGGGGTCGGCAATGTCTGGACACATTGTCCTCCTAGAAAATGATTGAAACTCAAGACAAGTCAAGAACGCACTTAGTGCTCGTGTTTAATGCATTCGCCACATTTGACTGCTGTAACGCTGAGGTGATCCCCACGATTACGTCAATGAGGTTTGCAAAGAAGAGGCTGAGAAAAAGTCGTTACTTGAATTATATCGCGGCAACGTTTAGTGGCCTTGCGTACGAGTATGCATGTCAGACATTTATCAGCCAGCTTTTGCAAAGCGCGTAATATTTAAGCGGAATATCGCTCCATGACTACTTTAAGACGTCTCTTAAACAAAATCCTGGTAGGTTACGAACGTCGACAGAAAAACGTGGACCTCACCATTGCCTAAAATAACTTTTCACTGGTTTGATCATAATCAGACCTCATCCAAGTTCCGAAAAGTTCGTGTGCCACGACGACGTCTCTAATGCCTACACCTTCTGTGGGTTTGAACCGTGTTTTGTGGTAACGTTTCGTGCACAGTTACCACTCTCAGAAAGATAAACGTGAAAAGAAGTAACATGCATGCAGGCCTACCAATACCGCAGTGACGTGCTAGTAATGTTCGCAGAAAATAAACTCATCCTCTCGATAAAAGCGACTGGGATTCTAATCTGAGCTCTTTATTTTTTGACGACGTAGCCGACAAAAAATGAAGAAATAAAACAAAAATACAAAACTTTAGGGTATTCTTTTTTTACGTAGCTATGCTAAATGTTGTGTTGTTTGATAAACGCACCGTTTTTGAGTTCGCTATATTATTTTTTAAGAATTCTGGTACAAACAAAAATATCAACAAATAATTGGAGAAGCACCATTAAACCTAAAACACCGAGACAATTGTAAACATAAGAAAGTGAAAGTCGTTTACAACTCCCTGCAACGCCGAATTGGAGCGCAGCTCTTGAGGAGGAGGAGGGAAGGGTACTGAGGGGAGGGTAGACCCCTCCTCCTCCTCCTTCTCCTCCTCCCTTCATTCTTGAATATGCTCCGGGGGGTCACCTGACCTCAGGGGCAGGGGGTCACGTGACCTCGGAAGGGGGGGGGGGGGTCACGTGACCTCGGGGAGGGGTCACGTGACCTCCGGGGGTCACGTGACTTTGGGAGTCACATGACCTTGGGGGTCACGTGACCTCAGGGGATCACGTGACCTTGGGGGCCACGTGACCTTGGGGTGACCTTGGGGAGTCACGTGACCTTGCGGTTACGCCGACGGCGACGCCGACGCCGCTCAAGCCGGAAACGAGCGCCTAGGAGCTGTGCTCTGAAAGGGCACACATCAAAGGAGTGTCTGCCAAGGAGCGATATGTATTTTGCTTTGCGTTTCAGGCTTGTACCAGGACAGTGAGCTGTCGCCCGCGCCCTGGGTCAACACTACCTAAAAGTCAAGTTCCCTTAGACGTCATCACTAGTAGATCGACGCAGCGCCGCCTAGTCGGCGCGTCTTGTGGCGTTTAGCTTCAGACATGGGCTCCCAGTCTGAGATCCCGAAGCGCGCGAACGTTTCTCCAGCCGTCCCGTTCGTGCGGAGAGGGCGTAATCGGAAAAAGAGGAGGCGGCGTCTCTCCGTGGGGAGGCGCTCCCGACCCAGCCATCGACAGCATGCCGCGAGGCAGAAGAGTGCAAGAAAAAGTGTTGTTACGTCGAGTTACTGCAACTTATACTTAGAAATGTTTGTGTATTGTGGTAGAACGGTGAACAGCTTCTCTGGAGAAGCAGATAGACAAGTTGTGCTGCTTATTTATTTGAGATATTCATCTGGACATGTGGCGGCTAGGGCCACAAGCGCTTTTGATATATTTGACTGGTATCTGTAGCGCATATAAAACTCAAGAAAAAAATGAGCTCCGTAGATTAAAAATTCAGATTTCCCTAAATAAAAATAATCGTGCTGCATTTTTTTTTTTTTTTTGCAGGTTGTTTGGCGTAGTTTTTTGATCCTGGGCACGAGGTTTGTTATTATCTATTGAAGGCTGTGTTGTCCTTCTTTTAATATCTTTAATATCTATCACGTAATTTTCGCGAGTCGTATTGCGGTGTTTGATTCTACAGAAGTACCTGCAAGCCGGGGTCACGCTGCTTATACATTATACTGTATACACAAGACAGTCTGCAGATATCAGTCACCTCGATATCTATGGTTCAAATGTAGCGTGCCAACTGTCTAATTGAACTCGTTGCCTTGCGGCATTCGAAGCTCAGATCTCGTGGTGACTCGAGTTTGCATCTGTTTGCAGACTGTCTTTTGTATGATGTACAAGCAGTGTGACCCCGGCTTTGGGGAAAAACTTATGGTCAGTGAGGTACAACCCCCTCGGAATGATTTCGACATTTTTTTATCAACTTTTTGATAATTGTAGGTACTGATTCAAAAGGTGGAATGTTATCTTGTAAATATCTAGTTTTTATCACATGTGGCACAAACCACCGTATCCCGTTATGCACTTTGTGATGTAATTTAATTGATATGCAAACAAACCATGGGATTTGAACGAAAAGAACTCTGGTTTATTGATAAATTCCAACCATATTCGAACTTGGTTTATTCGGTATTCGAACCTGGTGTATTTACAGACTCCAAGCCTTGAATTTTTAGGTTAGGCGGGAAGTATCGCTTCAAGCAGTTTCTTTTGATACGCTGCCCCGTCTGTCATAGTCATGCCTACGTTAACCCTGGAATGGCTGTACTAACTTCGTTATTACAATCCTAGAATTTTTTTACTCATAATCATCTCTTGTAGCGCAAAAAAAAAAAAACTCAAAAATAAATTTAGTTTTCTGCAGAAAAAAAAATATTTATATATACCCTAATTATACAACCATGCTGTACTTTTTTTTTTTTTTTATCCGGTGAGCTTGGGAGAACGCAAGATGAAACATGACGACGCGACTGACCCCACCCACCCGTGGTGTCTGCGACTAGAGGTCTGCACGAAACGATATTTCGAAGCCCGGCCCAGCCCGGCCCGCTGTCTATTGGGCCTGAACTTGCCCGCGACCCGCCATACATTTCCGACAGCCGGTTTGGTTCGGCCCGAAGTTAATTTACACGGACCAGCTGCGCTTCATTTTAGCCCAGTATGAATAGCTCACAAATTGCGTGGCATGGCAGCTCGCTTGCCACTGCTACATATAAGTTGATTACGGTACCCAATATTAAATACTGTATCTTTTTTTTTCTTTTTTTCTGCTATTATTAGTTTGACCAAACTACAGGCCTAGGCAGCTTGTTAAGAAAAGTCGCCCCGATCTCCCTTTTCTGTGACCAAACCCACGTGGAAAGGACAAAAAAAAATATGAAAGCCGTTTACAACTCCCTGTAACGCCGAATTTGAGCGCAGCTCTTGAGGAGGAGGAGGGAAGGGTACTGACCCGAAGGAAAAATCCATCAATGTAACCCTGTTTGGCAGTCAATGTTTGCTAGTGGAACGCTGACTGTGCCTGACTGTACGTCAAGCATGTCTGATTGGCCAACAAGTTACTCTGACCGACAGTCAAACTCCAGTCAGACCCCGCTTGTCGGCTTTCTGATGGTTTCCTGGTGGCAGTCGGCCGCCGCGAAATGCCATCAGGATGTCTTGGTGGCGATTCTGATTGTACATCGACTGTCTCTGACTGTACGTCAAAAAGCTTTGACGTGCAGACAGACGTACGGTCAAAGGACGTAAAGTTCGTTCGGACACCACTATTTCGTCAAATCTATGAATACGAAAAGTAATCTATGCACGAGAAAATGATTTCGGGACGTGAGCCCATAAAACCGCTGACGTTAGAGATGTGACACGCAACCGACCGACAACCTTGATCAGAAGCCCGCCGAAGCGCCAAACACGACACTTCGCCGACTTCGCCTCGCCCATAGAGGCTTCGCCGAGCTTTCATGAACGATCGCTCTCGACTCGTTTTGTTTCCCCGCTTGCTCCAACCTGTTGATCCTGCCCGGATTCTACAATGTCTTATGTTTTAGTAGAATTTCTACTCGACAAGACCCAGCCCGTTGTGAGTTTCGACGATGTAAGGGACTTTAGCGGTGTAGTTGAAGACGACAAGGTGTACAAGGTCTACTGGGCCGGAGACGCGCGAACAAAAGGATCGTTCTATGACGCGAAAGTACTCTACATGGCAGGTGAGTAGAACTGAAGTACGGCGAGTGATGTACGAGTGCTTTGCATAACATGCTGACGGCTTAACTGCATTTGCAGCCGAAGCATCTCGTATGAAACGAATACTCAAATCGAATTTCCTAACTGGAGGCATAGCATAGGGGTTAAGATGTCCGATTTGCACGCAAGTGGTCGCGGGTTCGATCCGGGGTGGTCCTGCTTCTTTTTCTTTTTTTTTTTTTTTCTCGAACATTTTGTTTTATCGAGGCATTTGGCGATATTTATGAGTGCGTATTGCTTTACTCTTATATAAATGCTGCCCTTGTTGATGAAATTCCCTTGGCAGTGGCAGTCGGACGTCATCTGATGGACCATCAGATGACGTCTGATGGTCCATCACGTTCCACCAAGGCTGCTGACTGGCAGTCAGTGTCCCAAATTACGTAGCTTGATGGAATTTTCAATAGGGGAGGTTCACGTATTTTCGGGGGGGGGGGGGGGAGGGTCAAGTGACCTTGAGGGGGGGGGGGTCACGTGACTTTGGTGGGGTCACATATCCCCTTCCCCAAAGTCACGCGACCCCCAGAGAAATATTTCCGCTAAATTTAGCGGGGAAATTTACCCATAAGGCACCGCGCGGTTATGCCGACGGCGACGCCGACGACGACGCCGACGCCGCTCAAGCCGGAAACGGGTGCCTAAGAGCTGCGCTCTAAAAAAAATGACATGCAGCGGTAAACAAAACCACGTGTCACAGTTGAAAACAAAGGGAAACGTCGCGACGGGTTTCGACAAAAGACGGACAAAGTTCGAAATTAACCACTCTTGCTAAACACAACCGTAAAAAAAAAAACTAAACAATGTCGTTGTTTGTTGCGGTGGTGTGCGAAAAATTGTTCAGGAAAAATACCCCTCAGGGGGAACCTCTTCACCCATGTTGGGGATGCAAGCACCCGTACGTACAGATGGTTTACGCCGGCGAGGGTGCGCATTGTGTAGACGCGTGTGTGTGCTTGTTGGTGGTGAGAAGCAATGGTATGATGGCAGCGCCGCCGGGAACGAAAAGGAACGCTGCGCCGCTAGTCCTCTAGAAGAGCATTCGCTGCACACGCCGAAGTGTACAAAACCATACAGGCACACCCACATGCTTCAGCATCTGTTTACCCTCCCACCGCGGTTCCTGAAGGCCCGTACCCGGCCCGGGCCCTTCATGAATATAGCCGTGAAGCCCGTACTTTCATGAATGTAGCCGCGGTCTGGCCCGCACCAGTGCTACCTGCGACGCTGACGGCTCGCACCTCTGTTATGACTGAACAGACAGCGCCCCCTCGCGCCGAGCAACGGAGTTATAGCCATTACACCATGCTTCATAGCACGCGGCGGCGCCGAGGCGCGTGCGTCTGCCGGTTTGCGTCGACTATGGTCGAGTTCCGGCGTGTTTGCCGCTTCTGGTGGGTCATGGCAATGACGTCGTGCTCAGGCCTTCTACGCGGTATTGCTCCCGGTACAAATTTGATTTTGGTGCTCTTATCCCGGACAGACCATATGTGCTTCGGAAAACGGAAAACTAACCTTAAACACTCTTTCGCAGGTGTCATCGACGGCATCACTTTCGGCTCGCCCTGTCCCCAAGTGCAGCCTCCTGAAGGCGGCTGTCAGGGCCGGGAAAGCGACCAGACGTGCGAGGATCTGCGCTGTACGTCCACTTCGCAGAAGGTGTGCTGCCTGAGCGCATGCGGAGATCCCTTCTGCGGCCCGCGTATAGCTTAAGGGTTGTCTAACTTCTTGCTACGAATAAAAAGACGTGATACGAGTACATTTATTTTCGTGTAATCATTTGTTCGTGTGTCTTGTTTTTCGGAATGACCTAATGAAAAAAAAAAAAAAAACTAAATATCAGAACTCGGCTTACTTTCCGCGTACAATAAGATTTTTTATGAAAGGCAAAGGCGAGTACAAAAAAAAATACAGTGACATCCATTGTTGGTGACAAGTCAGGGATCCAGTATATGCCTTTTTCACAAGGGCGCAGCCATCTTGAAACTCGTCACTTCTGGTACGCGGTAAAACACCGTTTTGATCTCTCCACGCCGCTGGAAGGTGTTTACGAAAAATGCGTGATTGTCACATTGAAAATCACGCATTCATCTTGTTTTTCCTCGGCCATATTTTCTCGAAACTTTTAGGTTGAAATATTGTATTATATTTTGGCCCGCATACCAAATACGAAACCCACGTGACAGAGAACAAAAGGGAACAGAAAACGTCTGAAATGGAGCGCGAGCCTTTTGCTTCTGCACTGTTGATAACATCGTTGCGCGCGCACTCAAAGCCCGGCGAATGGCAACGAACGTGTGGGCGCCGCCATAACCGACCTTCAGTTTTTCTTTCCTCTTCTTCGGTTAGCTTCGCTTCATCATTGTCACAGCAGGACAGAATATAGCCCCTTTAGGTGATATACTGTCCTTCTCCCTAGCATAGGCCTTTGCGGAGTCTCGTGAACGCCTGCTTCAGTGGCTCGGCATCTCGGTAAGACAAGAGAAAGTCAGCAATGCGGATGTAATCTGGTGCGGGTTTAAAGCGTCTATACTGAACGGATAACCTGTCATCAACTATAGTTAATCTGAGTATTTCAGTGCTGTCGACTGCAGATGGTCCTTTTACGTTCGTCGACGGCCTCTTGCGTCGTTCCTGGCACAGTTTTGTGTAGTGATGGTCGCTTTTCACGAGCGCACCTTAATCAGTAGAAGATTTCGCAAATTGCACTAAGTGCCTGCAGGTATTCAAGGTGTTTAATAGTTACGTTTTCACGACAGACTTGAAAGATTCTTTCTCTAATACCACTTAGCCAACAGCAGCGACGAGGTACTGGCCCCGAATTATTCCCCGAGTGATTCCGTCGAATACAAAGTTGAGCAGTAATCCAGAGAAGACACAGGGGAACGGACATTAAAGGTGTTCGTATACGCGCGTCTCCGAGTGCTAGATTATCTATTTGGTGTGTTATTTTATCTGTCACGCAGGCTGCACCGATAAATGACATTTCGTCATCGTCGTCCACGCAGAAATATTTTGATGCGACGGGTCCTCTCGACAGACAGACATCATTACTGTTATGCGCCTTCCCTTACTTACAGACATGTCAGATTCTTGCAGTCGTTAACGCCACTGCGCGAGGCGTCTGGGTCTCGGAACTCGTTAAGCAGAATGTTGGATCTTAAGTTTATGATCCGCAACGATTGGACTCTTGCGGCGACGGCGAGACGTCTTCGTTGCAACGGTCCAGTCGTCGCGCTCCATGAACTTCGGCCCCACTTCGGCATTGGCGAGCAATCATGGCGAGTACCCAACTGGGGTATCGGTACAATAAAATATTGTATAGGCAAAATCGCACGTCTCTAATATTCACAGTGCTACTCGAAGCCAACCTAAAATAATCACCACTTGCGGAGCATGAACCAGGTCCACGAACGTGAAACGCGATCTGGCAGCCGACATGGCTGAGCAAAATTTGTTTTTACATTTTGATTTCATCTATGTAAACTCCCGCGGCAATAGTTTTCAGCGTTGCCCCCGAGGCAGAGCTTCACATGATGACGCAGAAAACAACGCACAATGAGGTAGAAATTTTACCCCGCCATGATGAACGGCCGGTAGAAATAATCGATACAACGTGATAGGCATATTTCTTATATGAACGACTTTCTTAGTCTGAATTCTGCAGTATTTTATCCCGAAACACCACATCCTAAACCAATACAAACGACGAATCACCAGTAACGTGTTTTGGGCCTGTTGGTTCCAGTTATATTCTCGCCTTCAATTATAATATGAATACGAAACAAGCTATGTAGCATACTATTACAGCGACGTCTGAAAGGCTAACGGAGGCACCAAAATCTGCACCAAAACCAAGATCGGACAACGTCTTACATAGGCAAAGCCATTCTGGAAACCGAACCTCGTGTTGTGAACTTGGCCTCAGCGACTCGCGAAGAGATACTCCGGTGAGTGTCATTTGTACCGGCAAGTACGTGTTTATTCCATAGAAACAGCCTGTTGCCAAAGTTCCAGTAAGCCTGTCTGTACAGGGTGTTTATTTTTAGGCTTTACAAATTTGTTTTAGAAAAGCCGTGAAAGCTATACGTACGGTCTGTGCAGGTGAGTTGTACGGCCGTTGGGACATGATATAGAGGCTAATCGTTACAATAAGTCGACTAATCATTATATATATAATTTACTTTTAATTAGTGGAAATAAAAGTTAACATATAGTCCTAATTAGAAACTTTCCGCGCGTCCGGAAAACCTTTAATTCAGTAAATGCAAGAAACCTCTAGTCTAAAGCTCGTGGGAAGCGCAGTTGTCACTAAACTTGTCACTCGTGCGATATGCGCAGTTCTTGCGCTGTGAAAATGCAAATTATATTATTAAACACGTACGTTTTTGCACTACTGCAGACTTCCGCCTGTTGCACAAGACACAAGTTTGGAGCCCGCTTCCCATGCGCTGTGAATCTCTCTTAAATTTGCTGATTTAGTGGGGTTTGATGACGCTCAGCAAGTTTCTAATTGAAACTATATAATTTATTTTCGCAGGTTAAGAAGTTAATTAAAAAATATTACTTAATATTTTACTTTTTGTCACTAATAGCGGCTATATTATGTCCTCCTGACTCCTGCACATACGAAATTACAGTGGGTTTCACGTTTTTTTATAAACAAATCTGTAAAACTAAAGCATATACAGCCAGTATTTATGTATAGGCGCAACTGTGCGTGTCGTGCCCGAACACTCCCAATAAAATACAAACGAGACCCCGCCCCCAGTATATCTCGCACATATGGGCTGTTGATCTACAGAGTGAGCTTATTAAGAAATGGGATAAAATTAATTTCAGGTAATATTTTTCTGGGAGGTCCACCGTAGTCTAAACATGCATATGAATATTCAGTTTTTCAATTTTTTCTATTTTTATCAAAGTCGCGATAGCAAGGTACTTCGTTTTCACGATGTGTCGCGTAACTAAGGCCATTCAAAAGTCACGCGTTTGGGTATACGTGTTCTCATAAGACGGAGCATTAATCGCGCGTCTACATTTTTGCTCCTAACACCTGCATTTACCTGGAACAAGCTTCAGTAGTGGCGTCCTAGAAACAGCTATAAAACAATATGATGATCTAAAAATATTTTTTGACTGTTGACTCCAGGAGGTGGCTTTTTATCGAAATAAAACATTCTATTTCGCGTACAATGTTTACTAATATTTAGGCGAATTAAATCGAACAACTAAGAAGAATGTCTAAGGCGTCGTGACATTTTTTTGAAGAAGTAAGTTGAGGCACACAAATATTTGAAGCCTGGATTTCAGGTAACTCGCAGTCATGCGTTAACGTAATGTAGTTACGGCGTACTGCTTGAGTGAACCCTTACATTGCGACATCTTTGACTCTCCGCAGGTTTTTCCCTTCGCACATAACTCTATCGGCAAATATATCGACAGTGTGACCGGGTTTTACTTCAGACTGCGAAAGAACGTTTTCAAGATAAAGGAAGAAGCAACATCTCATTTGGCGAGACGTCTGACTCAACTATGCCAAGTAAGGAAAGCGTAGGATCACGGCTCTACTTGCAAACAATCAGCGTCTCTGAAACTCCCCTTATCGTGATCTCCAGTCAGCGACGGCTCGAGTAACGGCACTCGAGAAATATATGAGGCAGCAACAACGGCGTTTCTATCAGTCGTCGCTTTGTCCTTCTCGAAAAAAGTGTTCCACAACAAACAAAAGACACGCACTTTCGCAGACGCGTTTCAACCTCTTGACCCGTGGTTCGGCACGAGACCGAGCGAAGAAAGACAACTCGGCGCGCAAGCAGATATATCCGCGTTCATTATAAGTTGTTTCGGAAAAACGACAGCCAACAGCTGATTCTCAGAGTCGTCCATCACTCTGTCATGGAGTCCCACACTCTGATCCTGGTCGGCTCTGTCGTCCTCGCCTGGGCATTTCCGTGTGTCCACGGCGCCTGTCCTAGCGGTCGCGGGAGACCCAGCGATTGTCAGTATTCCAGCTGCACGGACCGGGAGTGCGAGGCGCAAGGTCTAGAGTGCTGCCCCAAGTCCTGCGGAGGGACAGCGTGTGTTCAGGGTGAGGGAGCGATTGTTTTCATTTCCTATTAACGCGTTTGCTGTAGGGCCGCTAAACGGCTGGTGACGCTTCACTGCGGAGGTGGCAGTGACGACAATTTCGAGCTAGTTTTTATTCCCCATTCAGAAAAAAAAAAGAAAACGCGAAGCACGTACCAGAATGCGGGATTGCGCATGTCTATATGGTTTACTTCGTGGGAATCTGGCTTCTGCTATACGCAGTATCCACAGTCTGTGTGGGCAAACGCTGCCCAGTTTATAAAAGGCCTGTTGGTCTATAAATTTCTTTTCTCGTTGAGACCGTTTTCTCGGGCGGAGGGGGAGATGTGAGACTAATATTATATACGGTCTCACCGTGCTTCAACTATAATGTCCGTTTCTCTTAATTAAACTAGTGGTATATCATGCGTGGCATCATTATTTAGAATGCTCGATTGCTTATCACGGGGCTTTTTGACGTGTTTTGCATCCTTAAGTTGATAGTATTCGTATGACGTCACTGGTTAGTGCGGCCCTTCTTCCGGCGACATCGGTGTGTGCTAGGTGTGCGCACGAAAGCGTGCGGAAGCGCCGTGTAATCAGTACAAGTCCGGGCAACAGATTGTCATACATTTAATATATAAGCAATGACACAGCTCTAAAGCCGGGGTCACACTGCTCCGTCATCATACAAAAATGACAGTCTGCAAACACAAGTCACCGCAATATCCTCGATTCGAATGCCACGTTAAAGGTTTCCTCCTTAAACTCATTGCCGTGCGGCATTCGAAACAGGACCTCGTGGTGATTCGCGTTCGAATGAGTATGCAGACTGTCTTTTGTGTGACCCCGAGTCAAACGTTCAAGCACAAGCAAAAAAAAAAAAAAAATCGAAAATCGCACAAAACATTGGAGCTCGAAAAGTAGTTCCACGCAATTTCTGAAAATAAGAAACAGCGTGTATATTTCTATCGTGCAGCAGTTGCAATTGCGGTTTACCTAATTTGCCATTTTCATGCAGTAACAGCTTCTACAGCGGAGCTGTTAAAGGCTAGGTTCCCCAGGATCGGGTTCCTGTATGTCGACACAAACCTACCTCGACAGCTACCGCCACCTATAAACGACGGCGGCAAGCACAAAACCAGTGTGGTTTCCGCCGTCGCTCGTAGATGGCGGCAACCTTTCTAGCTGTAATAGAAGAATGGATAGTTGGGCGCGTTGGTGGGCATTCATCGTAGGAAACAGCGCGAAAAACAGACGACGACGAAGAAGCACACAGTGTATCAAGTACCGCTCCGCTGGTTTTCCTTTTCGCGAAAATAGAAAGGCTGAACTTTTTTTCTTTTTTTTTTTTTTTTTAAATAATGTAGGATCTAGTTTTTGCGTTTGGATCATGCTGCGACTTCGCTTGCGATTTCACAATTGGGACGTTTAGCACCACAGGTTGGATCCCAATTTCGTTGACGCTCGAGCGACGCCTACTGGGAAACCGTAAGTAAACTCGCCTCTTGTGAATCGGGGTTTTCGGCGTTTTATTTTTATTTACCTATCTTTTTAATGAAAAAGGGGCCCGGGGGGGGGGGGGGGGATATGAAACTACAAACTGGATAGTCTACTCACACCGAGCAGAGCTGGAACAATGAAGGGCTGGACATTTTAAGGAAAAATTATGACTACGTCTTGACCAATACAGCCGAGCCTAGATTGAGTTCTTATCTGCAGGTGTCATTGACGGCATCACCTTCGGCTCGCCCTGTCCCGAGTTCCTGCCTCCGGAGGGAGGCTGCCAGACCCGAAACAACGAGACATGCGAGGATTTGCACTGTATTTCGACATTGCACAAGGTGTGCTGCCTGCAAGCCTGCGGAGATCCCTTTTGCTTTCCGTTCGGGGAGGATTAAAGTCATCGTGGCATCTGACTGGCGGCTGTTCCAGCGAATAAAAACGCGCGCGATGTGTTTTTTTGAAGCGCTAAAAGCAGTCTTATTACTCAATATTTATTACTTTAGGGTCGCCATATTTGTCAAGGGTGGCGACCCTTATATGGGATGTGCGGAGGTAAACAAAGACAAACATGGCCGAACTTTTGAGGTAGTATGTTGCTTCCGGTCGGCTATTGTTTTTGCTTGGGATTGAGGACCGGCGGTGAGAAGCGCGTACTTTAAAAGTCCTATGCCGAGGACCAATTGCGGTACCTCCTGAAATTTACTTATACGGAATCGACACACCTTCTTAATTGTTTGGATGAAAATACAAATCATTTGTTCACCAAAGAAATGAAAAGTTTGCTGAAGGTATCTTAGGCGCCGCACCTTCACTATTACCTATCCGGGCGGCCTGGTAATAGTAACCTGAGAACGACTTATATACTGCGAGATCCTTAAACGCGTTCAACTACTTCGTAAATGGCGAGGCATCGGCGACGGGCCCCTACCTTCCTTAGGCGCAGAAGATGCGCGGCGAGCTTCCCCGCAGAGGTCGCCGAGCCGGGTCTTTGTTTTAGCAGACAAGCTTCTGTAAGTTTTCATTACGCTTCCTTGAGCGCGACACGAATCTCTGTGACGCACACTTTTCTAATGTTTTGACTTGCTTGGTTTTATTTTTCAAAGTTACGTTTGCAGGGCACCGTACATCTTGTATTTATACGGGCCGTAATGGCACATCCTTCTACTGAGATGGTTGGTCGATGTGCCACGGCGCCGACGCCACATTCGCACGTTTGTAGCGTTACGCCATCTGTCGGCTGCTCATCATCATTGCCGAAATTTGCCCCTACCGGCAATACGCCAAACACAAACTATCCAATAAAAAATATTGTTTATCTTTAGCCGAAACGCTTTTTTTTACGATATCCGAGTACAGATTTTCACAAAACAATTTCAGCTAAGGTTCACCCCTGCTAACAATACACCCGTACAAAGTATCTACAAAAAAAAAACTTTTTTGTCAGCCGAAATTGCTTTTGCTGACAGCACATCGAGTACAAACTATCGACCAAAATGCTTTTTCTTTCACCCGAAATCTGCCCCTGTTGATGATAGACCCAGTACAAACTATCTGCACAGAAAAACTTTTTCAGACAATATTGCCCCTGCCGACAATCCACGGATACAGAATATCAACAAAAATACTTATTTTTTTCAGCCGAAATGTGCCCCTGCTGATAAAACTGCCAGTAAAAACTACATACACATTTTTTTCGTCCGAAATCGCCCTTGCTGGCAATGCGCCAATACAGACTACCTACATAGAAAAACTTTTTTTTTTCAGTCGAAACTTCTCCTGCTGACAAACACCGATAAAAACTATACACCAACTCATGTTTACAAACAAACCGCAGCGCCCCTAGCGGACGCCACTGGCGCCGCGCATGCGCGGTGTATGCTGGGCAAAAAGCTCGCCGTCGCCCATAAGCAAACCATTGAATTGCATTGTTGTCGGCGTCGGTGTGAGTCCCCGTGCTCTTTTTCGCGTTGGAATTGTTGATTCTACGTCCTCTTAACAATGTCTAACTACTTGAGCGGCTTCTGCAAAATTAACGAGGCTCGTTACACCGCAAAACTTCGCGTGAATAATGTGACGTGCGGCGATTAATTTCACGTGGACGCCGCAGAATGGGCGCTAAAGCCTGACTCCCACGATGAGATTCTGCTCGCTATTTTCAGTCGCGACGTCACTCGGGCTGCCAAAGCGTGGACCTTAGCTGATATGGTGGACGTCGATACTGAAAACCGCAAGTAGAAGCGGGCATTATAAGTCGGTGATGGCCACTGGTAACAATGATCAACATCTTCTCTTCTCTACACTGTTAGCAAAAATAACACGCCTAGGCATGTAAACCGTTGTCCCATAGCGGGCACGTCCAAACGTGTTACTTTTACATACAGCACAGCCATGTGTGTTATTTGTCTACACATGAAGTTCCGTGTAAACTTAACACGATACACCGCGTTTGCCTTCCGCGAAACACGGTTGAATGTGCTCATTTTAAAACATGGCGGCCAGCAGCCGAGAGCAGGCGCGAGACGAGCCCAGCGAGCCGCGCGCCTTTCTGCCGAAGTGACAGCACACCGGACGTGCGTGATTCTCGTCCGATGTCTTTTATACACAGTAAACAGTCTCCAAGCGGCGGACGTAGGTATACGTGCAAAGGTACAGTGCTAATCACACTTGTCTATGACACGCGAACAACGGCTTTCTCCGGGGAGCGCTAGACTGGTGGCATTCGCGGAAACTAAGCTCGTCACGTGGCACAACATGGAACGGCCCGCCCAAGGGGTGTCCTGCCCACTCTATCAGCTTGATAAGCGATAAAAGTAAAGTGCTTTATGATATATTTTTGTTTTTTGATGACGACATCGTTGCCACGCCTTCATGCTTTGGTGTGTTTATTGTTCGAGCAATGATGTTTGTAAAAAGCGTGCGAGCAGCTTTCCCGTTCGCCGCCAGCTGATAGAGTGGGCAGGACGACACCCCTCGAGCGAGCCGTTCCATGCTGCGCCACATGACTAGCTTAGTTTCCGCGAATGCCACCAGTCTAGCGCTCCCCGGAGAAAGCCGCTCGCTCGCGCGTTATAGACAAGTGTGATTAGCACTGTACGTACCTGCGTCGGCGGCGTCGGTAGCTAAGACGGGACTGCTAGACAGATTAACATATGCCGAACTTTTTAGAGTAAATAAATTACTCCAGGAAGCGAAATACTGATTACAATCGGGCGACGACTCGCGCCACCGAGGCGTAGCGACGTTGGGCAGCTACAACGCAACTGCTAGACAGACAAACGAATGTCGAACTTAAATGCATAAATAACTCGAACAAAATATTTGGAATCGGGCGGTAACTTGCTCCACCTAGTGAGATTTTTAGCAGCCTATAAAAAAAACGCGTCTGTTCGTGCGCTGCGAACGATCACGAGTAGACATCAACCTTACATACATTCCAAACAATCCGAGCACCACATATTACACAGCACCGACATAGACACATACACCAACACTACAACGATAGTGCTCCCGACAATTCCTACTCGACATTCATTTCTCCCCGCGGCGCATATAAGCTTGACATGTGCGGGTGAGCTCTTTGGTCGCTGACCGTTAAAGATTTATAGAAGACACAAAACACGAAGCAATGGACAGCCGTTGGTTAGAACTGTTTGCATTTAAAAGTATTGAGGCAAAATTTATAATGTTTGTCCATTGCGACAATTAAGGATATATTAACAATAAATTTAAACCGGGTCGTGAAAAAGTAAAAAAGTTTGTTATTTTCTTGCTTGACCAGTGTTATCAGCAGTCCGAATAGCTTGAATCAGATAGAAAAAAAAAATTATTGAAATTTTGTCAATATGTATTCTATAATAAAGGGAAATGATTCTTGTGCAAAGCATTTTTTATATATTCTTGGGAAGGGCATCTGCCCAACGCTTCACTTCCGCTAGCTGCAGTACGCGTACGGGAGCAGACGCCTTCACTGCTGGGGAGTTTTGATGCAGTTTGTTGTTGTATGTCGTGTCGGTGACGAGTGGTGTGGTGGGGGCTTGGGAGTTTGTGTTTGTGAGCGGTGTTATTCGTGATCACAAGTGTGGCACTAATGCATTTTTTTTATACCGCCACCACCCCGAACCTTGAAGCTTCACGGGCGCATGGCACTGCATTATGCTGAATCGTGAGCTCCTTCTCTGTTGAAATCGCTTTCCTGGTACCACTCGTGGATACTGCAAGCGTTTAAACAGAGTGCACCGTCCAGCCTACATGCCCGGTGACGTACTCGACCTGTTGAACTTATTGCTTCTGTCATTTAGGAGTACGCAATGCAGTTATCTTGCTGCTCTGGTTTCGGTTACAAAAGCAAGGCAAAACACTCGTAGTTCCCGCTCTCAGTACACGTTCGACATCTTCCACACTTTGACACCGGATAACTAGATGAACTAGAATTTACATTTACTTCAGAGGTCACTCTCGCCGCTTCCTCGCGTCGAGCAGCAGGATCAGCTGGCGACAAGCCGCGGGTGAAGCGCTTGAGCATCACCAGTCCAAGTGCACAAAGAACCGTGACCGTTTCAGCTCTTCGTCATGACACTGTGGTGCAGATAGCTGGGTAAAATACAACTAGACTGACCATCGAAGCAAAGGCACTGTTATCGTAAAATCTTGGCTCGTGATTATGCCTTTGTAGATCATCTTATTCGTTTTGCTGGAAAGACGCAAACGGCAGGCATAACAAAATCGTTTGCATATTCCGCGTACCTCGCAAAAGCACTTACCCACTCACCTAGTGAAAAGCGCGAAACACGGAGTCTGCAGCGTCCTGACTTCCCAGTTTTTTACCTGCTTTAGAGCAGTTTGTACTTGCTAGTGGGTATGCCTACTGAAACTGAAACTTGAAACTAGGGGCAGTGCCAGAGACAAAAGAGACAAAGCCGGGAACGCTTGCTCGCTCTCCCCTATGTCTCAACGCTCAAGTGATTGTACCATAATAAATGCACCAACGCCTCTTCCCAAAATAAAAAAAAAATCACTATCTTCACTACGTAAAAAATTGTCTCAGTCTTTCATTTGTGGGAAGGTAGGAAATTCACCCTAATTTATTCACACTGCATTATGAGCGCAACAAACTCACACGAGATTTACAGGAAAATTTCGGTGGTGACTTAATTAAGTTTCCTTGAAATTTTGTATAACCGGTCGTTTGCAGGAACGAATCATTTACTCGAGCGGTGTGCGTCGCTGTGCAAACACGTCACTGTTAATTAAAACGACGTAATATTGTTGAAAACGCCCGCAGCGTTTTACTCACGGTATGCGGGCGGAATCTTCCACATGTTGAAGCGGAACGAAGATTTACTTTTAAAAACGCTCGCTGCATCCTCGCGAATGAGCTGGTCCGGATCAGCCGACGACGACGGGACTGAACCCGTTGAACCTTAACCCTACAACAACCAGTTTGCGCACCGTGTTAGTGTGGG